AAAAAAAAAAAAAATTTTAGAAATTAGCCGACATGGTGGCACACGCATGTAGTCCCAGCTACTTGGGAGGCTGAGGCAGGAGGATCACTGGATCCCAGGAGTTGAAGGCTATAGTGAGCTAAGATTGTGCCACTGCACTCTAGCCTGTGTGACAGAGTGAGACCCCATCTCTAAAAAAAGGGGGGGGGGAACAAAAAAAAAACCTAACACTTTATGTTTTCTCCTTAGTATCATAGCCTTACTTATCTTTACACTGCACTGCTGGAATAGCCTCCTAATTGGTCTGTTTATTGTAGCTCCTTTCCAGTCTGTGTACCACACTGTAGCCAGAGCAATTCATCCGAAATGCAGATCCAAGCATCACATCCTGGCTAAAAAGTCCTCACTGGTTCCCCATTACCCGCTGAATGAAGTCCAAGCCCTTGTGGCGGTGGTCTGTTCCTCTCATCATCTGGCCCCTGTGCAGCTCTACGACCTCATTTCTCAGCTCTCTTTGCTTACTATTTTGGCCTCCAATAATACTTACTTGCTTTATTTTGTTACCAGTGTACTCTTAAAAAAAAAAAATTAACACAATTATACTTCCATATAGCTTCAAGATTCCCCTAGTTCCATAAGATTAGTTCAGAGAAACAGCCATTTCCTGCCTGCCATTTCTCCATCCCCATAGCCAACCACTTTCAGCTGTAGCTGGTTCTCTCAGTGTTTGCTTCTCTATCGCTAAATTGCATCTGGTGTTGCTTCTTAGTTTTTCACTTTTAGGCTTTGTCTTTTGTCTTCTTACTGCGGAAGATGAGGTGTTCTCTTTTGCCCACTGTTTGTTTGTTTCTTTTTTTTCTTTTCTTTCTTTCTTTCTTCTTTCCTCCCCTCCCCTCCCCTCCCCTCTGTTCCCCTCTCCTCCCCTCTCCTCTCCTCCCCTCTCCTTCCCTCGCCTCTCCTCTCCTCTCTTCTCGAGACAGGGTCTCTCTCTGTTGCCGGGGCTAGAGTACAGTGGCATCATCACAGCTCACTGCAACCTCAAACTCCTGGTCAAGCAGTCCTCTCAAGTGGCTGGGATTACAGGCATGCGTCGCCACGCCTGGCTAAATTTAAAATTTTTTTGTAGAGACCAGGTCTCACTATGTTGCCCTGGCTGGTCTTGAACTCTTGGCCTCAAGTGATCCTCCTGCCTCAGCCTCCCAAAGTGCTAGGACTATAGGTGTGAGCCATCGCACCTGGCCCCCTCTGTCTGTTTTATGTACCAGCATTTCCAACCCTCCTCCTTCCCAGTAGAGTTAGTGCATTTTAGTTAAATTGCCGTTCCTTAAGCTAACCTCTTAGAAAAATTACTGGATACAACTTACGTGTACATTTATTTTTTATTTATTAATGTTCTGAGCTTGTTGTTTTTTAGATGAACACAGTACGTGTCAAAAATTATATTTAACTCATCAATTAATGGCGTAACTAGTAAGATGTTACAACCAGTTTAAGGAAGAATTCAGTCACACACATACTAAAGTGAATTTATAATAGATACAAAACTGGTCAATATCTACAGGGCAATAATCAGTTACATTCCATGAGACAAAATTAATTTTCATTTCTTTGGACAGGAAGTCATTTGCCTTGCTCTTAAAGTTTTTGGCAATTTACAGAGTTGTAGCTTTGCGCAGTGGTAATGAGGTTTATCTGAGGTGCGATTATTGCTAATTGAAAACTTCTCCCAATACTGCACCATGATGACTTGCAATATAGTTGACATTGGCAATTTTTGATGGTCCCTACGGGGACTGAATTTAAAAAAAGAGAAAGAAGAAAAAAAACAATTTACAGAGTTGTAAAGCAGCTCAAAGACATTGAAAGATGCAGGCCCCTGTAAAATTAGGTAACTTGGAAGGATGCACTAGGTAGCACACCCAGCAATCCTATGTTTCACAATTTTTCCTGACATCTTCCCTGTTTGTAGCATAATAATGTCAAAGACAGATTAATCTTGATCACAGAAGAAGGTCTCCTTAGGTTTGTAGATGCAGCAGGAGTGTTGATTAGCCATCTAGGTCACTTTGAGTTTGTTCTTGCAACCTAGAGCTGTATGGTATCGGATAACTGCTAAGGTCACCAGTCAAGTGTCCAGAAGTTTTCATGAGGATTCTCAGATGAGCCTTTCAAAGCCTCTGTTATTTGCTAATCTGAGGGTAGGGAACTAAGCCCAAGAGACTTTTCACACCATATTTTTACCTGCAGTACCTGTAAGTTTGGATGAATTATTTTCTTATCAAGGCTCCAAATTTGCTGAGCTTCCTGGCCTGCCAGGAAGTGATTTTCCATAGAACCCCTTAAAGACTGAGATCTTGTTTGCCAGAACCCCTCCAGGCTGGCTTTTGATGGGTGGGAACCTGTTGGATCCACAAGTAAATCAACCTTCATTCCCTAAAAGTGGCTTGTTATACCTGACTCCCCAAGAATCATTCTCGATAGGATGCTTCAGTTAAGGCCTTGTTTGCATAATCAAGTCACCCAATTATATACTGTTTAAAGGGAGGACAGATTTTTATTGAACTTACACAAAAAACCATATTGATGTGAAGAGTACAGAACCTCAGAATTTACGCTTTTCTTATTTTTAAGCATTTTTAGGGAATACTGAATTAATAAAGTGCTGTTCTTTTTATTGTGATCGCCAATGGGTAGGTTATCATTCTGTTTTCTATTGCAGTGTAGGACTCGTTGGTAGCAGAGATTGTTAAAAAGATCTTGGTATTTGTTAGAAAATGTTTGGTGGGTATAGATGCTCTTAAGCCTACTGTCATCATTGTAAAACTTTGATTGTCTTTTCTAGGTTCATATTGAGATCCACTGAAGGCCCTCCCCTGACCGATGAAGGCGTGACCTCAGGCTCACTGCATCCAGGAACACAAAGCATGAGGGATAGAAGAAAGCCTCTTGGCACCTGCCTGGAAAAAGTGAAGTGGGAGGGAGGAGATGACTCAGACAAACCATTATATAGCCTTAAGAAAAGAACACAGGAGGAGAGCCCTTGTCCAGCAGATACATCTTCCTGGATGAATAAGCTTACAGTTGATGTAAATGGAAATTCACAAACTGAGACGTTATCATTGCAAATGAAAAATGATCTGAGTGGGGCTGACCTCTTGCTTCACAATGGCAACAAAGTGCTTCCGTATTTAAAAGAATCAATAAGAAGAAATTCGGCTTCAGCAGGCACTCCAAGCAAGGCCGTGAGTCTGTTCTCTGTTCCTGCAGAAGAGTGTTTTCCTGGAGTGTCCTGCGGTGTTGGGGAAGCTCTGGGGAGGGACTGGCTGAGAAGAGGGCCCCGGGCCACGGACAGCCACAGAGGACAGTGCTCCAAAGGAGAACCTTGGGTGTCAGGACTGCCATGCCATCAAGAACTGTTGGAAATGGGAATTTTTAAGGATGACCCACCAAGTGCTTTTCCTGAGGGGCTGGGCTGTGAGTTGGAACCGTCTTGCCTGCATTCCGTCCTGTCTGCAATGCTGCACGCAAATCCTGAAGTACTCCTGAATGATGAGACAAAACATGTTTTTCTTGAACATTTAAAGCCCATGTTTTCAGAGCAAACAATAGGATACAGGAAAATGCTTTCAAGTGTAAAAAGTACCTCAGATGGTCTGCAGATAACATGGGGGTTACTGGCTCTATGACCTTTTGAATTAGCAAATCCATTATGCCATAGGTAAGGTACAAGCAGAACAATAAAAATAGATTAATTTTAAAAGTTGTCTTAGAATGATTTCTTTCGCATTAAATCTGGATGCATACCAGGCAGCCCTTAAGTTCCTGCTTTGGTTTGTATGGCCAAAGTAAGTCGAGCTTTAACTCAGAAGCTGGTTGATGCAGAAGGAAATTTTCGAGTATGTTTTAAATTATGCTTGAAAGACACTCAGGATTGGGAAAACATTCAGGAGAATATTGATATAGCCTATATAAATATCAGATTAGAACATTTTGATTTAACATGAAGTTCTCTACATATCTTTAATACCCATTCTAAAGGGCTACTGTCCCAAATGCTGTGGGTCTCTTAAGCTTGTCTCTGATCACCTAATGGAAGTGGATATTTGTAAAGTCTACCCCCCTGTACTTTTACTAAGCCTTGCTGAGTTCATGGTAAGCCGTTATCATTTCTGCATTTTGTAGAATGATTTTGGTCTGCAGCAAAATTTGATTTCCTTTCTCACACCCCTTTGCTTCCACTTGAAATGCAATTTAGATGGAGGTCCTATGGTGAAAGTTGCAATATTAAACTTACCTTTAGAATAATCCTTTCTCAAACTCCTTAAATATAAAAAGGAGCTTGAGACTATTTGGTGTAGCTCAGTTATAGAGAGGCAAATCAAGTGTTTCCCTTATAAAAAGTTCCCAGGTTCTAGGAACTGAGGTATCTTTTACACTAAGATTTTTCTGAGGTAACTCCTTTTGTTGTTTGTTGATAACTTTAATAAAGGTCATTTAAGGGTGTAAGTTTTTAAGGACTCCCAAAGTGAGACTTAAACATTTTGGGGATTATTAATTGCATATATCAGTTTATATTGTGTGCTAAATTACTATGCTGTGTGCTATTTTAGTGTTTTGGGAAAATGAAAAATAAAATTTGTTCTTTAGTATAATAAATATGTCTTATTTTATGTGTGTGGTCTTGGTTCTTCTTGTGTTTTTATTAATGCTCTTGTCTTCCTAATACTTTTCTAACACCAAAGTAGGTTGCTAATGCAGCAGATTAGAAGCAGAACTTGAAAAACAAAATGTAAAGCTAGATTGGAACTCAACTCTCACTTTCCTCCTAGGATATAATGAGATAGTGTTTCGTGTTCCTTTGGGGTGGTGCTCAGAGTCCCAAAGTAAGAGTCCTTGCGAAACAAACCGTCTCCAGCCAATCTAAATGACACTGTCTTGATTGAGCAAGGAAAGCCCTGGTGAATGTACATGCCCTGTTGGTGTTGCTGACGGATTGTGAAATGAGGTGGGCACGCTTAAATGTTTGAAAATAGGAACTTTTCTTGTCAAGCCCTCCTTTTACTCCCCCCCCATTCTTTTTTTAAACTAAGTGTACTCCTTTAGGATAGAACTTTCCATGACTCACCATTTTATTTCGTTTGATTTGTAAATTTCAAGTATGTAAATGTTCAACCAATTGCAAAGAAAAAGTACAGAATTCCCTATTTAGCATCAAGTGTTAATAAATTTGAAATGTTTTCATATGGATAAAGAATAAGGCCTGCTTTTTCTAAGACAGTTTTTGGGGAAAGTTCACAATCACTTTTTTCTTCACATTAATTTTTTAATTAAAAACATTTTTTTTTTAGATAGGGTTCCGCTATGTTGCCCAGGCTGGTCTCAAACTCCTGGGCTTAAGTGATCCTCCTTGGCCTCCCAAAATGCTGGGATTACAGGCATAAGCCACCACACCTGGCCCACATTAAATTTTTTATACACATATACTTTACTGCGATTTCTCTCTTTGATCCTGTGTTCCTGTCTGAAGATGCCCTCTCCTGTGGAAAATTCTGGGAAAGAGGTGACAGCCCAGAGGAAACCGATGATAAATGTGCATAAAGTTCTTCATGACTACAAAAGGCATTCTACAAGCTTTTTTATTTTTGAGGCAATTAGTACAGAAATAAGGTATTCTTTTACATTACCTTTCCGTGATTGAATTATAAAAGGGACCATTCATTTGAAATATTTCAGGTTCTATCATTTTGGCAATGAAAACCAAGGGAAGCTTATTTGAAAAGAACTGCAGTTCTTTGAGTTTACATGCATTTTCTTTCCCTTTTTTCTTTTTGCCTTTCTGGGTTCTGGCTTTTGCTGGGTGTGGTGGCTCCTTGCCAGGAGTTCAAGACCTGCCTGGGCAACATAGCAAGACTCCCATCTCCAAAAAAAATAAATAAATAAAAGGAAAATAGATTCTGTTCTTAAGTGTTGGACGGCAGAATCATTTTAAATTTAGAAACAATGCATAGTGCAAAATGTTGGACTTAGTTTTTCATATTTGGAAATCATTTCCCATTTTTTGACATTGGAATGAACGGTAAGATCTTGAAGTGATTACGAAGTCGCAAGCATATAGAGAATAAAAAGTAAATTAGGAAACCCTTGAACTTAGATAATTCTTGTATGTCTATTAATTTTATAAGTAGGATGCAAGACATATTATAGAGCTTAATGTAAATCCCTGTGTATTCTGAAATTCATACCTTTTTTTTAAAGAGACAGTCTCACCGTGTCTCCCAGGCTGGAGTACAGTGTCCAGATCATAGCTCACTGTGGCCTCAAACTCCTGGGCTCAAGCAATCCTCCTGCCTCAGCCTCCTGAGTAGCTAGGACTACAGACACCCACCACCATGCCCAGCTAATTTTTTTTCATATATTTTTTAGAGACGAGGGTCTCACTATTTTGCACAGGCTGGTCTCAAACTCTTGGCTTCCCGAAGTGCTGGGGTTACAGGTGTGAGCCACCATGCCTGGCCAAGACATTTTTAACAAAGCGTTTTGGTTGAGTTGAAAGGGCCTGTTGCACACAGCGTGTTGGGTCTGAGAAGTCCTTAAGCATTATGTTTTCTTCTATTATACAGCAGAAGGAACAGCTCCCTTCTGCTCCATTATTGAAGGGAGCAGAAGCAGACATTACTGCAGTTTTGCTTTGATTGTGTTTTGAGTAGATTCCTTACAGTTCTTTTAAATTGTTTAGGTATGTAATACAAGGGATTTTTCTAGGGTAGCTGTGCCTTACCACATAGTATTAGAGTGGAATTCTCCAATTGTTTAATGCTTTTAGTTTTTTTTAAGGCAGTGAATTTAACCTGTTTTCTCTCCCTCTGCCTGCCTACTAAGAGAGCTGATTCTGTATCAGAAAACAAATGTATAATTTGACGATTAGGAACTAGGCTCTGTTATCTAACTCTGAAAACTTGTACTTAAGGTTACCAGCATTCCACTGCTGCTTATTTCTGATGACTTGGAGAAAGTATCGTGTCTGTGCTCCTTTTAAGTTGCTTAGGTACCTCTTTTCAGCAGAGTTCTCAGATGCCTTGACAAGTCTAGAACTTTGTAGGACATCTAAGGTGATACCCTACCTAGTACAAAGGCACATACATATGACTCAGTGTAGGGAAATCACTGTTTCTTGTCATGCCCCCACTTCCCAAGACTTAGTGATGACTCACCTTGTTCCGGAAAACCTATCAAGTGAGGGTGAGCTGAGAAAAGAGCAGGGTTGGCTTATTTTAAATGCAAGTACTTTGTTCTATATGTGGCAAGACCAAACATATCCATGTCTGCATTCATTTAGAAATTGCAGTAAGGGAGACAAACTTTTTTTTCCGGCCTCGTGTTGCGCGTGGTTCCTTTGGGAGAGTATGTTGAGGCGGATGTTGCGTCCTTGCATCCAGGCGAATGGCAGGCGGGGTTCATTGTTAAATGTTCACGTTTCCTGCTCCGCTGTGTAAGAGCAAGACGTGGCAAATACATGAATTTAGAAAGGTTAGAACATTTGGAATTTCCATTAGAATCAGCTGCTTTTTTCGTCTATTACGGATTCTATAACAATATCTTAACCAGGCATCTCACTTTGGTTCCATGTAAATATTATGCATTTGGAGTTGAACGTGTTGTATGCCCTGGCTGTCCTCTGTATTTGTCATACTGTCTCTAAAAAGCGTCCTGGGAGACCGGAATCAGCCGTGTTGTTTGAAGATTCACATCATTTATGTAGTGAATATTATACCAAAAATGACTTAATTTTTCTACCAGCTTCCTGCAGGGAGCAGTGTGTTTGTCTTTTGACCACAAGAGTGGCAGAACACTAGGATTCAGCTTTCAGACCCGACCTTGTAACTTAAAATGTGATGTGTGAATTTTGCCCTTTGCTACTCAGATTCCTAACCGATGGAGGGTTTGGTTTTGGTTTTGGTTTGTGGGAGGCAGGAAAAGGGATGAGAATTATTCTGATCAAGGCACCTGCCCAGGTGAGCAAGGGATTCTTGGGCTTAAATCCTGTCGAGGCCCCCTTTCTTTCTCAGTGGGAAAGGTGCGCGACCATTTTCAGAGTTTAAATCCATCGATATGGCTAGTAACATGATAGGAAAAACCTGGTTTTTCTTTTTTTTTTTTTTTTTGAGACAGAGTCTCACTGTGTTGCCCGGGCTAGAGTGCCGTGGCGTCAGTCTAGCTCACAGCAACCTCAAACTCCTGGGCTCAAGCGATCCTACTGCCTCAGCCTCCCAAGTAGCTGGGACTACAGGCATGCGCCACCATGCCCGGCTAATTTTTTCTATGTATTTTTAGTTGTCCAGCTAATTTCTATTTTTCAGTAGAGACAGGGTCTCGCTCTTGCTCAGGCTGGTCTCGAACTCCTGAGCTCAAATGATCCACCTGCCTTGGCCTCCCAGAGTGCTAAGATTACAGGCATGAGCCACCGCACCAAGTCAGTTGGCCAAGTCACTTTATTAAGTGGACTCTTTTATGGGCAAATTTTAAGTTAGAATGGGAAATTCTCACCTCCCTCTGAAGGTGAATGACAGAAGCAGGCCCCAGTGGGTGGAACACTGTTACAGGACAGTGTGTATTTAGGGAAGCTCAGGGTAATTTATATAGCTTCATAATTTGGGGGGAACAGGTGAGGTTAGAAAGCAAGCCTGTGTCTGTGCGTCTGAGGTTCACACTTGCCACGAGAGGGAGCCACGTGATCACTCGGAGTGTGCTGATTCAGGATGTTGTTTCTGGTTATTTTGTTTATCCAAATTCTTATGCAAAAATTAACGTAAAAATGCCACATTTAATTCAGTTCAGCACGGCTTGTTAACCTAAGTGAGTGTAATGTATCTAACCTTACAACAAGATAGTAACTCTTTAATTCAATACCCATTGATGGTGCTTTAAGGCAAGATGATCAATGTGTTAGAAAAATACAACGTGGGGTTTTGTTTTTATTTTTTATTTCGAAAATGACTTTCAGTAAGAAACCACATTTTTGCACTGCATCTACAGGAACGGTAGTTTTGTTCAGAGTGGGCTTGTCAGAGTTTTCACTTCTGCCCGAGGATATACGCAGCCCCCCAGCGCTGGGGGCTTTCACAGATGCCTTCGGAACGGTAGCATCCCAGCACCGATTCATGGGGGGCCACAGTGGACCCCTTTCGAGCCTGTTCCTTGCGTGAGAGCCTCCTGGAGACCCTTATAGGGAAATCTGACACACAGAACAGGTCAATTTTTCACTACAGAAATCACAACTTTAAATTTCTTTTGTGGCTTGCAGTGAAATGTTCTTAACATGTAGCCATCTATTAAAGGATTGGGAGCTGCTATTGTTCCGTAATATCAATGAACGATTGCTCTTTCCAATGCATTTTTGTAAAAGAGCTAGCAGGGAGCTTCTTTTAAAAAATGGCAAATGGGGATAATAGAGTGCATATAAATAGCTTGCAGCTATTTAATGTCTTAAAAATGTTTTGAGTACCACTTATGACTTATGAAAATAAAGCAGTTTGTGTGAATAAACTCCATGCTCTCTCTTTGTTAAATATTTCTGTTTCAGTCTGTTGTGAAACAATTGCTAGGATGGTGATTCCTCTGTCCTCCTTGAGTCAGACATGTAATAGTCAAACTCCTTCGTTACATCTTGCAA